TAAAAAGACAATCAAGTCCTCCACATGGAAACACACAGAGACACAGACACATGCATACAGACTCACAGAGGAGCACTGCAAATGTATGAATTGCTTTACTTTTAACAAAATTAAAGTGTTAAAGGATTCTTCATAGATTTTAAAGAGGAAGATATCTTTAATATTGAGACTATTATATTGAGCTATTATGACTAGCATAATTCAAGAAATAAGGGGTTACAGTAGTATATGAAGAAAGGTTAATTTTTCATATTCATTTTGGGTGGATAAATACCCAAATAGTAATACTTTTAAAACATTTAATATTTAATAATATTTAATATTTACAAAAATAAGTACTCTTTCATACACATCTAAATAAAAACAGATGTCCCCTTTGTAGAAAAAGAACTGCGATTTCAGATCCAATGGAAAACTTCTTGTTATTGACATTAGGTCATTACTGAGCATTTGTTGCATCCTAATAGTTTATTGCATTTGTTTCTCATAACATAGACCCTTCCTGAAGATTCCAGTGGTATTCCTGAGGGTTTTGTCCTGTTATGGTAGAACTGCTGTCAGAATACAGCATAGCACAAGTCTGAATCCAATCTCACTTTGAGCATCTTCCCTTCCTCTGGTTCATTGCCAGTCAGTGAGAGCAATGATGCCACACACAAATCTGGAAATCCCCCAGCTATTTTTGATAAAGTCAAAACTAAACTTCAAAGCAGTCATGGAGGTAGAACACATCTCTAGGATGCCCCATAGGGTCAACGAACAGCTAAAATGCTTCCGCTGTATTCTGTAAACCCAAAGAGCACTCATAACGGAGTCCTCGGGATAGAGTTGCACTAACATTCTTTCTGTTAATAGGATGCTGAGTGTTATCCTCTTGCTGTAACACTCATGAAAGGCACACAACGTGGTACCAGAGAACTTGTGTTGATGGTGTTAACTTTTCTTTGTAGAAACAATGTGACCAGAATTTCTCGACCTTCACAACCCATTTTCTTTTCCTACTCTCCACCTAATAGTCTTAGGAAGAGGACAGCAGGGTAGGAAGGACAGACCACCATTACCCTTTAGACTCTCACTACTGAGTACCAATGTCTTCTCCCCTACAGAGACAATGCCGTCCTCTCCCATCCCATGACCTGAATATGTGACTCAGTGACTTCTGTCTGGGTCAGTTTCTTCTTCTCTACCAGTGGCCCCTTACAAATGCAGTTACTTCAACGTCCAGGTTGACAACCATGCTAACATCTGGCCCCATAATTCCTCAACCCCTTCACTTCCAACACCACTTCCACTTAACTGTGGCTGGCCAGCTCAACAGGTTGCCATAAACTTCCAGTATCAGATCTTCTAAACATAACCCCTATCCCTTCCATCTCTTCTGCTCCCTGCAACTAAACTTATTCTGCTCTTGTAATTATATTAAGGCTCTAGATTCCTCTGTGTTCGTATGCTCAATCATTCCACTTCGACTCCTTATCTTATGGGAAGCATATATGGGGGAGACAAGCAGCTGTCTCCACAGTGTGATTCTGGGCACACAAAAAAATTCACCCACGTATGTCACATCTTTAATTGTTAATATCTATATGCAGCATTAGAGTCCATGGAAACATCTGGAAAATACTTGTGGACTGTGCTTTTCATGAGGCTCAAGAAACTCTTTTTTTGACTTTAGACTTGCAAGTTGGCATGAAAGAAAGAGTGCAGATATGGAATTGGTAGGTGCTTTTTAGGAATTACGAGTCTGGGCTGGTGGTAAATAAAGGAACAAAGAACAATGAAGGGAGTTGACAAAACAAAAAATTCTACCTTACATTTCTATTTACAGATGGAAAAAATGCTCCTGTTAAAAGTCAGCTGTACAAAGAGACCAGAAAATAGTTTACCATAAAAATATTGCAATCAATAGTAACCGATTAAAACGGTCAAAAACTGGAAACAACCCTACGATAGGTTCCACTGAGGCAAATGAAAACTGCAACCACATGCCAAGCCTGGGTGAATCTCACAGACATAATATTGAGCAAATGAATCCAGACACAAAGGAGAACATATAGCCAGGTAGGGAAAGCTCAAAAAGAGACAAAACAAATCTGCGTCAGTCTGAATGGCTGTTATCCTCACAGGGGAGTAGCACCTGGAAGGAATTACAGAGAGGCACCTGGGATGCTGGTAATATGATTTCTTGATGTAGGTGCTAGTTATTCACTTTGTAAGAATTCATACAGCTGTGCACTTACGATCTATGTACTTTTCTGTATATATTTTCTATTTCCATTAAAAATAATAAAGCAATGCTTCCCATCTGTGGTCCATGGTCTCTGCTGCCTAAAGAAATGTTATTAGGCAGTTCTTCCATAAAAAGAGCTTGGTATTCAATAAATTTGAGAAATGCTTGGAAAGAGGTAGTTAAATAGATCCTACTCTGCAGGACATCTCCATCAGTGAGCGGGAACATAGGGACCCTCCCTGCTCGGCCTTTGCCCCACTCCTGCTGCCCCCGCCCCTTCAAGCTTCTCTAAGGTCTCTTCCAGTCTCCAAATTTTGGTCACCTCAGGAACTGCATGAAAGACTGTGCTTCTGCAGTTTACCCCTGACTGGAACAAAACTACCCTTTCAGATGCTCATATCCCTTCAGCGTTCTCACGCCTGTGCAGTCCCAGAGCCATGAGCCAGCACATTTCATGTCACTTGCAAATACAATATCATGAAGAAATACAGGAAAGCAGGTTTTCAAATAGAGCTTTTCACAACTGTGATTTGGGAATGCTCAAGTAATCTCAGCATTCTCGTGGGTTTCCAGCTCTAAAATCAGAGTTCCTCTCAAATACCTGGAAGCTGTCATGAGTTGATTCTTATAATCACCTCATTTTTTCTAGTCAGTTCTGTCAAAACACACCATTGCTTCTTTACAACTAGTATTGTGTGTGTTCACAGTGGGGCANGGGAGGGAGGGAGGGAGGGAGGGAAGGAGGAAAAAGAAGTACGCCTAAATTCAGCTAACTACCTTCTTTGAGAGGTTGGAGCAGAGCAGAGGAGGGATGCAACTTTAAAATGCCAACTAAACAATTTGCCTGAAGCCTGTGATTTTTCTTTCAGGCATTTGATCATCAAGTCTTTTCATTCTCTTTGCTATGATCCTAACCAGATGTATTACATACCACCCACTGCCCCTTAATTGGCAATGAGGACAAGAAAAACCAGACAGAGTATTCCAAACCAATGTCCTAAGCCAAGGCATTCATAATAATAGGTATCCTAATTATATTATATTGATTTCCAACAGGAAAATTAAATTACTTATTTCAAAGAAAATCCAGAACAAGCTAATTAACATTTTGATGTCTAGTTTGGTGGGAAACCATTTGGATTGGAAAATATGACTTTACATCTCAAAGCATACTAAGAAAACCATATTGCAAACACCAAACTATATCATGCTCAGTGGATAAACAGTAAGCACGATTATGATAGAGATTGCAAAAGCCATTAGGAAAAGCAGAGGGAGAGAGATGCAGACAAAATAAAATTAAGAGAAAATTTTACAAATGTTAACTGTCACAGCCACGGTTATACAATTCTGATGCAAAGTTGAAAAGGGTGTAATGAAATGACTGCTGGGCTTGGGTTAGGGCCAAGACGTGGTGAGCAGTCTTGCAAACAATATTTTAAATGTGTTTGCTCCAGAGCAAGGAAAAACATTACCAATTCAACAAAGAACTACTGGTGTGACATGTTCCCTTAAGAGCAAAAACACTTAAAGTTTTAATCAGAAAGAATTCTTAGTACTGTGAAAAAGAATAATAAATTTCATGATTGGCTAATTCATGTTCGTATAACCAGCAATGATTGCACCTACCTCATTTAAGTCCTGCTGAGTTTCCAAAGCATCCTTTGGCCAAACGGCAGCCCTCTGGTCTATTCTATAAAATACAAAGGAAAATTATTTCTATTTAAAAGGAACCTTTCAACAATGCACATTTGAAGCTGGCGGCTACAGATCTGGCTATGCCCCTGTTAAAACCCCTTCGTGGTATCCCACTGCCCGTAGAATAAAATCCAGACTCCTCACAATGGCCTGCACCACATTACAGCATTTGAACTCTGCCAGCCTGCCTGGCCCCATCTCCTACCACTCTCAACCCTCTTCCCCACACTCCACCCACCCTGGCCTTCTCTGTGTTTCTTGAACACAAAGTACTCGTTTCCTGTTCAGACATTTGCACTTGCTGTCCCTGAGTCCAGACTGCTCCTCCCAGATGTGCATACAACTGACTCCTCTCGTTATGTGAGCATCTGCTTAGCTCACATGTCACCTCCCCAAAGACCTTCCTGACCTCTCTAACTAGAAGTAGCCACACACACCCCCCCGCACTCTCCAGCCCACTGACATGCACATTTTTTTCTTAGCATTTTTTACTATCTAAAATTATATCTGTTTATTTGCATTTCTATAACAAAATGTAAGCTCCAAGAAAGCATTAATTATGTCCAATTTCTACACTGCTAAACCCTCAGTACCTAGTACAAATTCAATAATTTTTTTTGAATGAATGAATGTGATCTGATATAGCTGTTGCTGAAAGATAACCATTTGTCTACTGAAGACAGCTTTTGGAAATTTCATTCTATCTCTTAAGTTATACAATAAATGTTATGGTCTTTGCTAAGTTACATGATAAAGCTGAGTTTTTCCACTACATAGATCCCAATAGAATAAAAAGAACTTAAAACAAGGCATATCTACTCTAGGTCAATTTTCTTTAGTTTAAAAACAAACAAAAAAAACCCTCTACTGCTGTAAGATGCTTCAATCTAAACCATGATTTGTCAAATTCTATGGTCCAGTGGCTTCTGTTACATAGCATGCAAGTTTTTCTGCAGCAGTTTGCATGTTACTATATAGGGAACATATTAAATTATAGTCAGTATTGAAAAAGAATAATAAATTTCATGATTGGCTAATTCATGTTCGTATAACCAGCAATGATTGCACCTACCTCATTTAAGTCCTGCTGAGTTTCCAAAGCATCCTTTGGCCAAACGGCAGCCCTCTGGTCTATTCTATAAAATACAAAGGAAAATTATTTCTATTTAAAAGGAACCTTTCAACAATGCACATTTGAAGCTGGCGGCTACAGATCTGGCTATGCCCCTGTTAAAACCCCTTCGTGGTATCCCACTGCCCGTAGAATAAAATCCAGACTCCTCACAATGGCCTGCACCACATTACAGCATTTGAACTCTGCCAGCCTGCCTGGCCCCATCTCCTACCACTCTCAACCCTCTTCCCCACACTCCACCCACCCTGGCCTTCTCTGTGTTTCTTGAACACAAAGTACTCGTTTCCTGTTCAGACATTTGCACTTGCTGTCCCTGAGTCCAGACTGCTCCTCCCAGATGTGCATACAACTGACTCTTCTCGTTATGTGAGCATCTGCTTAGCTCACATGTCACCTCCCCAAAGACCTTCCTGACCTCTCTAACTAGAAGTAGCCACACACACACCCCCGCACTCTCCAGCCCACTGACATGCACATTTTTTTCTTAGCATTTTTTACTATCTAAAATTATATCTGTTTATTTGCATTTCTATAATAAAATGTAAGCTCCAAGAAAGCATTAATTATGTCCAATTTCTACACTGCTAAACCCTCAGTACCTAGTACAAATTCAATAATTTTTTTTGAATGAATGAATGTGATCTGATATAGCTGTTGCTGAAAGATAACCATTTGTCTACTGAAGACAGCTTTTGGAAATTTCATTCTATCTCTTAAGTTATACAATAAATGTTATGGTCTTTGCTAAGTTACATGATAAAGCTGAGTTTTGCCACTCCATAGATCCCAATAGAATAAAAAGAACTTAAAACAAGGCATATCTACTCTAGGTCAATTTTCTTTAGTTTAAAAACAAACAAAAAAAACCCTCTACTGCTGTAAGATGCTTCAATCTAAACCATGATTTGTCAAATTCTATGGTCCAGTGGCTTCTGTTACATAGCATGCAAGTTTTTCTGCAGCAGTTTGCATGTTACTATATAGGGAACATATTAAATTATAGTCAGTATCCTTACAAAAAGGCCAGCTATCTTAATGAATAAGAGATTTAATCAGTGTGAAGTTATTATAAAAAATTTATTTGGGGATGTAATTATTTACAGTTATTATTCTGACTCAATTTGAATCATGAAGAAAGCATATATGTTCTCTGAATGGTCAAAAAGATTCATGATTTCTAAATGTCATAACGCATTTAGAAATGCCACAGCCCAGCTTCCTCAAAATCTTAAGAATGCAAAGTTCTTCCAGTCCACAGGTGTTGCTAACTGTGCAAACAATTTACTTGTAATGAGAAAAGTAAGGAGATGGTAAAACAAAAAAAATTGTGAAGGTCAGACACAATTGTAAATGTCTTCCATGCCTGCACGAACCAGCATTTCCCTCCAGGGTGCGAGAGAAGACTAAGGCTCCCAACTGTGAGCTCAGACACAGAGAGCTCAAGTGAGAAAAGAGACTGAGGAAAAGGACTGCTGCCTCACCCATGCTGTGCCCATCAGTCCCTCGAGCCACAGACATAGTGATTTCAGGCCTTCAGAAAGTACGAAGTGGCTCTTTCCTACAAAAAGGTGAAGAAACTCTTGGGGACAGGGATTAAACCATCCTACTGAGTAATATAAGACAGTAAATGACTCATAGTTTCTTTGTAACCTACAGTGGTTCTTAAACTATATTTCTATACAGTAGCACCAGAAAAATGGAAGAGTGGTGTTATTTAATGAAAAGTATATTTACAGGGTTACACATTCAAATATAAATTTCTCTAGGGTTTTGGTGTCATATCCCTGTTAATGAGTAACAGCAGATAGTAAAACAAATAAGCAAGTATCAAAGATTAATGGAAGGAAGCGGAAATATAGTTTGTTAGATATTTAGTATATATTATTGAGATTCAGAGAAGAGCCTACATGGAATATACTCACACGATCTTCCAGGAAAACTACTCTCAACCATTAGATAAACCTCTAGAACAAGTTAGAGAACTATAGCCTCAAGAATCAAAGGTCAGATTTAGATATCCAAAGCTTGAGGTGAGGCTGAAATAGGAAAGTAAATACATCTGACCAGGGTTCACTCTCGAACTGGGGCACACTACAGTGTGTTCAGCAGAGCGTGAGTGACCATAATAATAACGATGCACAGAGGTTACAGGTAAGGTCATGTGGGCAGTTCTGTGTCACCTTTTTCCTCATTGCGTGGCCAGAGCCTAGCATGGTGCCTGGCACATGGTATATTCTCTGTACACATCTTTTGGATGGATGGATGAGTGGATGGATAAATAAACAGAAGAAACCTGATCCAAGAATGACTTCTTGATCTACCACTTACTAGGTGTGTACTTCTGGGAAATATGTTAACCTCTGTAAGCCTCAGTTTCCTCCTCTTTAAAGTGAAGACAATAATAGCATCTCCTCATAGGGTAATTCATGATGTGAAGGACAGTTCACAAATAATACTTACCACTATTGTTAGCTATATTAAATATAACACACGGATTCTATAGTCATATATAAAAATACCATAGTAGAATTATCATATAATAATAATTAATGGTATGTTGTAAGAATAATAATAATTGAAGTGTTGTTAGTTAGAGAGAAGCAATCAGGGCCACTGAGAAGGTCTTTGGAACTGGCCAGTTAGGAGAAAAAGATAAGATAAGCCATGAAGAAAATGCCAGGAGGAAAGAAGCTAACAAGAATAGCACTATAAATTCAAAAGAGAAAGAAGTTATGAGGAAAAAGAGTGTCAAGAAGAACCTGACAATTCATCCGTCCTTACTATGCCAGGCTGGGTGTGCCAGTCACTTTACTTACATTGTTTCATTTAATCCTCAATGTAGCCATACGAGATGAGCATTATAACATCTATTTGACCTAATAGGAGAAAGTTAAATAACTTCATCCATTCAGTCAACAAATATTGATTAAGCACCCATTATGTGCCAGACACTATTGCAGGTGTTGGGAATAAAGCGGTAGATAAAACAAAGTCTGCCCTCATGGAACTTATATTCTCATGGCAGGAGAGAGAACCTAAAGAAGTAAGCCAGCGATGACCTGTGGTGCACTGGGTGCTAAGCATTATGGAGAAAAAGAAAGCAAGGCAGGGAGAACGGGGCATGCAGGAAAACTGCCCAAGCTCACACTGCCAGAAAGTGTCAGTCACCTGGAGGTAATGAAAATGAAAGTGGAGAAAAAAAGTCCACTGGGTTGAAAAAGATAAAGGTAGAGAAGCTTAGCAACGAGAAGAGAGAACTGGAACAACAGCTAGCTGTCTCAAATTCCCTTCTTTTTAAGATCTTTACAGATAGTGCTTAACAATTTGCAATCCTCTCCGGAAGCTGGACTACACACAAAACTGAAACACTCTGTACAATTCTCTTGCCTCCCTCCAGCTGCAACAATAATAGGAAAGTGACTAAGCATATCTATATCAAATGCATGCAAAGGTGAGTAAGCCAGTCAAACTACTCTGCAAACCCCAGTCAGATCTTGCCCTCTAGCCCAGGCCCAGGCAATGGGATATGTGGCCTGTATTCCTCAGAGCTGATTACGGTCCTGAGCACTGATGAGAGTGTGATGCCTCCGACCACCACCACCACCATCAACACCACCACCTCCATTACCACTACCACCATGACCACCACTGCCTCACCACCACCACCACCACCACCAACGACAACACATCACCACCACCATCACCATGACCACCATCATGACCAACACTAGCACCACTACCACCATAAATACCACTGCCATGACCACCACCACCACCATGACCCCCTTTGCCATGACCACCACCACCATCACCATGACCACCATCATGACGACCACCACCCCTACCACCACCAATGACAACATCATCACCACCACTATCACCATTACTATCACCACCATCACCACCACCATCACCATCACCACCACCATCACCACCGGACCACCACCACTACTACCACCATCACTACAACCACCACCATCATCACCACTATCACCATTACTATCACCCCTACCAACATCACCACCAATCACCACCTCTATTTTCACCACAAGCACCACCACTGCCACTGCCACTGTCACCACCATATAATTCAAGGTAAAAACACTTCTCAGTAGAGAAATGCAAAACTTAATTGTATGCTGATATGAAAAGAGCTTCTCCCTGAACTTGACTCCATGATTGCAAGTTTGTGAAGAGCCCATTGAAGTGAAACTTCTCTAAAAACTTTTGGTGCTCCCACTTTGCTGGAACTCAAAGCCTGTGCTGAGTCAGCCTGTGGGGCCACCCTGCTGTGGCCTTCTCTCGGGAGGTGCACTGGAATTCAAAACATCAAAACCAGCTAAGCATTAAGATATTTTTCTTGGCCTATGGACTGTGTCAAATCACAGGATGTTATAATTTGTGAAAAAGCCATATTTTTAGCTCAGGATCTTAGATTTATATCAACATTTAACTACTGATAATTAAGTTAGCAGAGGAAAGTGTTTCCCATCTTGGTGAAAAGCTTCCCCCAGATGACACCTGAGTCATCTGACAATTCCTCTCTTGCCCAATAGCTAATTCATTACCAAGTCCTTCCGTTTCTTATCCCAATTAACTTTTGCCTCTGTCCCCTCCCCTCTACCTCCACCACTACTGCCTCAGGCCAAGCCACCATCATTTCTCCTCTGGGTTTCATGGATAATGACAGTTTCCCCCCTGGTCTCCCTACTTCTTCTCTGCTCTCCTCAGACCATTTCTCACACAAGATCTTGTTGCCACCTTTCTGCACACCGCACTTAAATAAAGACCAAAAATTCTGAAAGTATCCTATGACTTCCTGAAGGATTTAGTGCCTGTCCACCTTGTCACCCTCAGCTCATGTCGTTCTTGCTCTCTGTGCTCCAACTACATGGCATCCTTTCAGTTCCTTGGATGCACCATGCTCCTCTCCAGCTTAGGTCTTCACACGGGCTGTGCCTGTGCCCATAATGCTGTTCCCTCTCTACTTTCTCTCCTAAT